TTTCTTTTTGTTGCTCCCACTTGGCCGCTCCCATATACAGCAGTAAATTTGCAATAATATACCAAAAGAAAATAAAAAAAGAGGGGGGTGGGGGGGGGGGGTGGGGCTAAAGAGAACCCCCTCTTTTTACCTCAGTCATTAATGTCTCAGGATTATTCAATCATTTTTTATTCTGTATAATTGCAGAGTGTATGCAACAATTTCTGTATCCTATGCTTCCAGCAACTGCCTTCTTAGTGGAAAAGCTCTTATTCTACCAGAATGTGGAGCTGTTCATTTTTCCCAGATTGCTTGCTTATTTTATTTTGATGCACCTCTTCTTTAAACTCTGATGTGAGTATAAATTTGGGACTCTAATTGATGTTTCATTTCTCTAAATGCTCATTTGGTTATCACATTTGTTATTTCCTCTATTGGTGTCCAGCATTATCACTATCTGAACACACATGTGCCTTAAATTGGGGGAAAGGGAATTTCTAGCTTTCTTAAAGTTTCAATGAGTGAAGGAACGCCCATGAATATATTGTGGGAACTTTCTATGGTCCTAACCCACTTAGTAAAATTGGCAATACAATTTCTTCTTTATTTTGGAGTGGCAATACAATATTCGTAATTATTCCTTGATTTTGGCTTCCTTGTCTCCTTGTTTTGTTAATATGTGTCAGCTTAACTCTCTCTTTTTTTTTTTTTTTTTTTTTTTTTTTTTTTTTTTTACATCTTAATTTTTTTGGTTCCTGGGCAGGTTATGGGGTATTTTGTACAACTAGTGAGTGAAGATTCCCGTCTCAGTGAGGATAGTGATTCTGTATTGTTAATATGTGATACAGTTATAAACTTCTTGTTGAAGGTAATGCCTCTAGCAATATTGCTTCTTTTCCCTTTGTTATTTTACATTAAATGGTACTTATTCATTTATTTGTGGTTTTGTTTTTGTCCTGGTTTTCCTTAGAGGGAACACATCAAAGTTCAGCTGGATGAAGCTGTGTTTGTCCAAGTCTTGAAGGCATTGGCTTATTGGACAGGTACCTTTTTTGGATGTCAGATTCTCATATTGCCTTTGGACAGTGATGAAAAATCTGTATATCTAAAAACACTTAAATTTTACTCTTTCCATACATTTGCTGAACTTGTTTAACAAAGGCAAAGGATGTTGAGCTTAATCTAGTAATACGTGTTCTGCATCTCAATGTTTTGTCTTCTGCATACGACATTTTCTTTTTATGGGATACTCTAGCTAAGAATAAAAGACTGACAGCTGTTAGATCTGTGATGCAAGACCTGAAAGCAGGCTCCTTGATAAGCTACTCTTGATATAAAACCTGAAATAACCCAAGTCATAACAAATTTGACTCTTGGGCAAGTCTAATAGCCCATGCCTGAAAATGATCTGAATAAGATGTCTTCTGTGTGTTTTTACTTGCTTTTGATCTATAAATATTAATGAATAAATTTACAACACCCCTATGCATGTACTATGTAGATCAAAGTTATGTTTGTATTATGGGTTTTATACAATCTTTAATCTAGATTTGAGCTCTATATTTAGCTACAAATCTGAATGCAACTTGCTTGAGAAAGAAAACTGAAGACCTAATCCACCTTTCCCACCCTCCCCTACATTAACCAGAATCCAGATTCAACATTGACCTGACCTGAACCTCATCCTGACCCAACATGATTCTGACCCATGTCTAAATTGACTGGAACCAACACACACACACACACACAAACATAAAGGGACTAAATCTAGGCCTGTATACCTGATTTAAGTCAAACCCAAACTTTATACTACCTCCGTTTCTTTTTAGTTGACACGTATTCCTTTTTAGCAAGTTTTTTTTATTTTTGACACGTTTCCTTTTGGGGTAAATTTTTTACCTTGCATTTACAAGCTACCCCACTTGCTTTTTCATTCTCTCCCACTCTCTCTCCTCTCCTTAATATATGTGCCTAAATCAAACGCGTCAACTAAATAGAAACTGAGGAAGTATAAAATAAGCTCACTTTAACAAGTGTTTGAAATGGCCCAATCCATATTAGTGATATGAACCCACAAAGTGAGGTACGGTGACCTGAAAACGACAAGTTACTGAGAAGCTCGGGCTGTTTGAGTTAGCGTTTTTAATATGTGAATGCCAGAGATGAACACTCTAGGAAACCAATAGTATCCCAAAAATTGCTGTCCAGTGTCCACTACTATAAATTTCCTATCTTTCATGTCTTATGGGGGAGTTGGGTATTTTACTGAATGGATTTGCCGATCTGGTGCCTCTGGACCCATCAATATGTAAGATAAATTAGATACAAGCCATACAAAATTGTTCTGGTTGAAATTGTTAGATGCAGTGTATATTTAACACAAATCAGCTCTTCCCATCAAATTTTATTCATCTATTTGTTTTCTTATACAAGGCTATTGTCTCTGTAATGGCCAGAGGGAACAAGTGACTCAACTTACATCATGATGGCGTCAACCATATGCTCACTTATTTTTGACTACACATCAGAGAAGGCCCTTCTGGCATATCCAGGGATTGATGTAAGCATTTTACATAAATTGTCTCAGCTCATTGCAAGAAGCTTGGTTGTATGTGCACAGGTAAAAGTTGCATCTTTTTCAATCATGTACATTTTATGTTGAGACATGCAACATTTGAGAATCTGCATTGTTGTTCATGCTTCCCTACACACCTGCATGCATACTTGCTCATTCAATTTGTGAGAGAATGGTGGAGAGAGGGAGTGGAAATAGGTGGGAAAGAACAAAGGGGGTGTTTTCACAACCACCTCCTGATCATAACCTTCATGCAGCTAGAACTCCCCAAATTCCAATGGTTCAATCTTGATTGTACAAACATTTGTGTTTCAAATATATCCATAACTTTCACAAGATGGTATACTTCCTATTCACTGGGTCATTATCTTTTTTAAATACTGCTTAAACTGTTCAAAAGTTGAGTTCTGAAGCATATGATATAAGGAGTCAGATTTCTCAATATTTTAGGAAACATGATCTTATCTAGAAACTTGGTAGAATCCAACAATAGAATTTTCTGAATTATTTCAAAAATCAGTAAATGTTTTCCATTTGGGTTTGTATTGTATTGGATTAGTTGTGACTGACTCATTATGTAAATGGTGTTAACATTTCGATTTAGATGTCTGTTCTAGACAGCTTTGCTGCTACTATAGGAGTAAGGCAGTCGATATTCAACCCACCTGGAGTGAAAGCCTCTTTAGATAAATTGGGATAAAAGTTTAAGAGAAGTAAAATACCAAGCTTCCTCTGCGTATGTTATTAAAACTCACGTTGAGAAATGCACTTTTGCAGTCAAACATAGTGAAACTGTTTTGGTTAGGAAGAGGAAAGAAACGACATCTTATAATTAACTTCTTCAGATATTATGTAGCTCTTATGCCAAAACCCATAATGTCTCTATTCTTTTGTCTGAATAACAATCCTATAAATCCTTGCATGGAATATTGCGTATAAGATCCTGCTTGTTTCCTGGTGGTATTAATCTTTGTTGCTGCAAATTAATCAGGGGATGAGTTCACTAGTAGACATAAAATCACTTGTTTGTATCTTAAATAAACATTAAATCTTAATTTCCTTATGGATATAGCTATGTACTTTTCTCTGCTTGATATTTTCTTGGCTTTTCATGAGAAGTTGAGATCCTTCTAAAAATTTGATCCTTGTAAAAAAATCCGTCACAGGAAAACTGCAACAATGAAAATTCGGATGTGGATCTTCATCAGATAATAGCTGCAGGTTTGTTCAACTTCTCTGAATCTCTGATACCCAAGTTGAGATTGTGTGACATAAAGTTGGTTAAATTAAGTTTCAATTACGGACTGTATTTTTATCTTTTTATTATTATTTTTTCTGTTCTTCCTTGGAATTCTAATTGACAAAGAAGGCATGAAGCATTTCTTTTTTTCTTTTGTAGACCAGTAGACAATATTCTATGGACATTTTCTGCATGTACTAGTGCTACTTATTTAGGTCTTCTGCACTATTTTGAGCATATCATTTACAGCACTTCTAAACAACGATTACAGGTTATTCCCGATGGGCTGATCGATTTCCCCTTGTCAGAGAAGTGGTTGGGAGATAAATTACATGAATAGGTATCACGATTTGTTGGAGTTTCTGCTGTTGTTGTTGCTATTGCCGTTGCCTAATATCATTCAGCTATATAGCTGCTGTACATTAATACCTGAGAAAGTACTGTAAATCATCGTTTCGTGTCCAGCTGGAAAGTTGATTTAGCTTGTAGGAGCGAAAATTTTGCAGGGGAAAATTTAATTAGTGGTTCATTTGGTCTTGTAAGAAACATCTATTTTAAAATCCAAGGAACTCGCGTTCCAAAGAAAGTTAAAGTTGGGTGTTTTATAAATTATAACCTGTAAAAAGCACTGTAAATCATGAGATTACACAAACTGTAATGTTCACATAAATATGTGTTATGTGTATCTGCAAAGATTATTTTTTTGGGAAAGCCTAGGGTATCATATGATGCTTATACATTTATACCACAGTAATTTATGCAGGACATCATTTAAAATTTGTTATTTTGCTCTAATCAGACACTATTAAAACAGGCTTCTCCCTTCCCTGGCTCCCAGCAAAGGGAAATTTAGTCATTCCTGTGTAAAAAAAAGTCAATTAAGGGCAGTTACAGAACAATTATTTTTTATTTTGTATTTTATATAGCCAAAGTAAGACATGTGAGTACAATTAAATAAACAAATTGTCAATAATGTTACAATATACTAAGTAGTAGCTAATACTCGCTTCACTTAGTTGTAAGTAGCAAAATAATGAATCTGTCTCACTTATTGTACATTTTTTGCTCTCTTCATATACATCTTACAATATGTTGTAGTATTTTCTGTATATAAATTATACAAAAATGCAGTCAAGATCTAATCAAACTAGAACCAAAAGATTCAAACCAAGTTATATCAAGCAAAGAGATGAAAAGCTTTTTAGTAATTGAAAAAAGAAATTTCTTTAAGCATTCTTCCGCTCTGTCACTAACATAATGTCCTAAGACACCTAACAGACAAATTAGCACTTAATCTACCTGTATTACAAGAACAAAAAGTATCTTAGAGAAGCTTTGATCTAAAGAGAAACCAAAAGGGAAAAAAAATAACGAGCATTAAGCGAATAAATTGATTTCACATCATATACGTAGTGTAATAAGACTTGCAAGCCACTGCTAAGAACAAGGATCAGCAGATCACATTCAGAACCAGGTTGTCGATAGTAAACTCAAATTCAGCTTCTCACTTGCAAGTGTTGCAACACTGCGACACTGCTCTAAAACTTCGACAAACCTTATCCCAACCTTTTGAGCCCAAATATTAAATTAAGCTCAACAGTTATCAATGAGTTCCCCTCTACTATCCCATGGCCGGTTCTCAAAAGACTTCCCCATGATACTGCGCTTCTCATTTAAGGTTTCATCGTCAAGCTTGTACCCTGGGAAGTAGTCCAGAAATGTTTTATTGCCTATTTCATCAACTCCATTAAATAAAAAGCTCCTCAACAAATTCTGTGAAATAGAAGTTCATTAAAAAAAAAAAGTCCTAGTTTAAATTATAACCATATTACAAATTAATTTAGCTAGAAGATAGCTCATCAGTTCAAGAAAAATACTCTTGCTTTATCTTCCCCAAGCAATCTCTTCAGCATTGGATGCCCCGGATCCTATTGCATATGTTACGTTAGTATCAGGCTTATTATGTTATAAACTGGGATGGTGGGAATTGTGGAATCAGATATTATGGAAAACATTATCACAATAACACATAGATGTTCAGCCATAGAAAGTGTGGCATTCAGACGAGAACAAAAACTCTCCACCTTGGCAAAATCTTTTTTTAGCCCACTAGAAGTATTTCTCTCTGTAAACCATCCCCAACCAAACGTATTTCAGTGTATACTATATACGAAGTATAATTCACAAACAACATATTGAGGAACAATCAAGTCATTTTGCAAAAGCTTAACAAATGATACTGGTGGAAAAGGAAAAGGGGAAGATGTCTTTACCTTCTCTGCTCTCCAGGTAAGGTATTTATGTTGTGCTTCACTGTTGAGCATAATTTGGTCAGCAGCAGTCTCCTCCACTGCCTGTTCCATCAAGTCAAGCCATGTCTGCAGATACAACAACATATTTTAAGGATTTGTTAATGGTGTTATGTGTCCTACTGAGTAGAATCATTAATTCAGGATATAAAAACCAACTACACTTTTTACTTCTTCCTCGAAACAATTTTTAACTATTATTTCAGCAATATGACAAGATCTCCATAATCCAATCAATAGATAAGCTAAAATAGATGTCCCTAACAGATTTCCCCATAACTTATTTGGTATAAATTTCCAGTTGCAACCTCGCTCTCTCTTATCAACAATGGTGCCCACCCATATGCGTAAATTTGTTATGATTCTTAAAAAAGTAATATATGGTTTTAGGGAAATATTCTAGGGACAAACTAAATTTGAAGGTTGAATGACAAAAAGACTAGACAAACGAAATAAACTGATACAGTCACCAGCGAGACCAAAGAAACCAATTACAGGTTTACAGCCCCAAGAATCTGCTGCACATATGACCCTGGTTCCAACTTGTGATCTGGTGGAATGTAAATTTCACTAAAAACCGCACATTGTATAATGTGAAGTCGTGAACTATTGATTATAAAGATATGGTCTATGACTTCCATTTCCAGCATCAAAAGATCTCCAGCTAACAAATCAACAAATATAATTAATTGCCTCTGCTGTTATTTCATGCAAGATATCAGAGCATTTGAGTCAATGAGTCAAGTCTAGAAGTTGATATTCACCTTGTAATAGTCACTGAATGCGTCAAATAGAATATCATGCTTGTCTTGACTTGTGGAAAATCTTGTCCATATAACTATTGGTGAGAAAAACCTCAAAGATTCACCTGTAAGTTTTCCTCCCCATGGCAAAAGCTGCATATAATCTGAATTAAAATCAGTGAAATTTAAAATGGGTTAGGAGATGATAGCATCAAGACTTGATCCTGCAATGTAGAAGAAATACAAACTTACTTCAGCATACTTAATGCTGAGAGGCATTAAGCTTTTGTAATACTTCTCTTTGTATTCTCTATTAGTAATGACATCATACAATGGGTTGAGATCCCTGATGAAACCGTATAAAAGAAAAGGGACATTAAACATAAAAGTGTGATATAAATGCATAAAAAAGAAACCAATGAAGCAAGAGAACATTCATCAGCAGAGCACCACACACACACAAACACATACACTAGTGAAGCAACATTGAAATGGGTACAACTTACAATACAATAATATTCATCGATGAGCTGCTGAAAAAGTTGGCACAAAATATAGGCAAGTCGAAAGCAACTTTTGGGAAGATGCCAAAGTCCAACACCTGTATAAAATATTGTCATGGTAAAACGAAAAATAATAAGTAAATGAGTGTTGTAGGAAGTTGTTAAGAAATAAAAGTCGATTATTATGCTAGCATAGTGTAGCTTCTTCTTCCTCTTTTTTTGTGTGTTGGTATTTTCCCAAGGGACAGGCTTATCTCTTCTAAATCCAGAACTCTTCCAAAAAAAATTGTTTCGAAGGACAGGCGGGTTCACCCCCCCCCCCCCCACCCACAACCTATCAAAAAAATCTAAATCTTCAAACCTTGAGTCTTCTTCACTTCCCAAATTGTATTCCAATTCCAACAACTACCCTTAGTACGTTGGTAACTCCACCAATTATGATCCATATTATACACAGGTTATCCTGCTTATTGTGATTGCACATGTACACCTATTGACGCAACATTCCACACGTCAATGTTCCCAATTCCCAAGGCTTCCATATAATTTTAGGACAGCAAACATTATCCCAAGCTACAGACCCTACCTTCCTGCTATAGTACTCCCCACTTCTAAGAAAGCTCTGCAAACTTCAATATTATCAAGCACTCCTAGGCAACACATACACATGAACTTATAATATAAGCAACGCAGAATTTATCAGCTGTACCCTGGCCTAAAAATATAAGTTCCCACCGCTGCCACACAACTAATGTCATGTTTAGTTCACCTTATTTTTACTTATTTCAGAAAAAAATAAGTTCTGATCACATCAAATCAGAAAAAGTTCAGATCAGATTATTGTTTTATGTGAATTTTTTGATCGCTGAATATCTTTAATTTCGTAATGAAAAAAATTATGAAAATCACATATTTATAAAATACACATTATTATGAATCTAACAAGACCCCACTTGATATTTTTTTTACCATATAGATTATCGTATAATTAAGGTCAAAGTTTGGTCAAATTTGACATTCAGATCAGATAAGTTCAAATAAGCAAAAATAAGGTGAACCAAACAAGACCTAATTCTTCAATATAAAGTGTTTTGACCCCATTATAATGTGTGAGATTAGAACTCCTTGTAGCTCAAAACTACAATATGCATGGAATCATAAAATTATAGGCTAATACCTAAAAACTTTTACACATAATGCCTACATTGAACCTGCTGGACTGCTAGAAAACTTGATATTTCACAATATCTGTCCAAATTTCAGGACAAGGTGCTCAATAAACAGCAAACCATGATGCAAACCTACAGTCCGCAGCCTTACTTGCTCCTATCCATTATATCTCAGTAAGACTTCAATCTCATGGATTTTGCACCTATATATAGCCCAGACTAACAAATTCAAGATCTATATACAGAGTGCTCTTTTAAAGGCATTAGATATTGGTGATTCAATTGACATTGACATCTTCTTAAAACAAGCTTACCTATTAAATTGGTATCTGATAAAATCTGCATACAATGTGTTCGTTCTAACTTCTAATACAATGAATGCTGGTGAAATCAAAAGACGATGATTTCTTCGAAGCAATAGGTATACCTACTAAACTGGTATGTGTGTCATGTTCATTTCAATTTATGTAGAATTAGCATATTCACGCATTTTTATAAAGATTTTCAGAAGAGTTACACAGCAGACTAACTCTTGGGAATGGCCAATTATTTATCTATGATCATTTATTAATTTTTCTTACACAGTTACACCCATAAGAATGTATGTATAAGGGGGGCAAAAAAGAAAAGAAGAAATACCTGCAGTGAATCACCCCCGTCAATGTGCATACTGCGAAGTAGTCTAATTTTAGAATCTTTAAAAGATTGAAATTTGAGGTTGGCCTTTCCATCTATAGCTTCAATCTGGCTAAATTTTTTCTGTTAACACTCAAACAATAATTTGAATAATTAAAGAAAAAAATAAAGGAATTGAACAAACAAAAAATTGAGATGCAGAAAGTCTATTACAACAAAGATGATAATGAGATCCATCAGAGACAAAAATAATCCTACACAATCAGCAATTGCATGACAAAAGATGCACACTGGACAAACTAGTTTGGATTTCCCTCCCTTATGAACCACGATGTAAAGTTATATGGTTTGATGCTTGGCCTAGAGGCATTTGAGATAGATTAAAAACTACCTCAACGCAATATAGTTTAAGCATCAACAAAACAGCCATCAAGAAGACTACAGTGAGATATTCCAGGAAAACACATGTTCCAATTTATTTAATACCAACTGACCAATAAACAAGCATCACAAACCACCCCCCATTAAAAACACAAACTATATCAGACTTAATTATCCAACAACCAAACTCCCATCTCCAAAATGGCATGATTGTCAAGCCCTTCTTTCCCCGCCCCATCATCCCTCAAGACCTCTATATGAAATAGATAATGAATATTGTAATCACTCCACAAGATTGTACAATTTGAAACAAAACATCAAAACCCTCAAAAAAATAAAAAATAAAAAATAAAAATAAGGGGGTTTGTTGATAAGTTTCATTGATTGCCTTCCTAAAGTCATACATCAATCTCGCATACCTAGGATTTAGTTTTTTCTGCATCATTGTTCCCTAATCCTACCTTTAGAAATCATAGCAAAGGAATGTCATATTTTACTCCCAATGACCCTATTCCTCAACTTCTGCTTCTTCTCCATAACCACCCAATCCCCTCCATAACCCCATATTATTCTCCATAACTAATTCCATCATAGAACCAAATAAAGGAAAACGATATCACCATATACTTCCAATCGAAAACAATATCCAGCTCAAAAATGGTTTCCTCCAAACCAAACACAACCTACCAATTCTCTCTGCAATCACAAAACACCAACTTCATATGAGTCATAACACACAAATCAGATGAATCATAGGCAATAACATGACAACATACCCTTCTTTAATGATCAGACGTTCAGTAACTCCTAATATCTTTCTAATGCATGGGAAATTCTAACACATAAAAGATTAACTAGCCTTTTGGCCCGTTCGATGCACGGGTTCTTATCTAGATTATTTCATATGTAGGTATGTTTTTCAATAGTTAAAACTTTTGATATGAAATACGAAGTAATTATTTCATTGCTAAAACTTAAAAGAAAAAAAAAGAATGAGGATAGACCTGTGGAAAAAAATAAAGGAATTTAGATATGTATATATACAGGAAGATTGTAGGATATGAAATGACATATTGGTTTAAGTTATATTTTAAGTCTATTAGTTGAAAAGACAATTTTTATATAATTCAATTCATTTGTTTATGTGATGTATATTAATTGGTTCAACTTTATTTTGATTATGATGGAAATGAAACACTTCATTTTCTTAATTGAATTTGCAAGTTATAGAATGTATAAAGACTTAAACAAAAAGATCAAAAGGGTGACATGTGTTATATGTGGTAGTGAGTGACTTGTGATGACATGTGTCATATGAAAAATTATGATTTGTGTTTTTAAATACTAATATTATTGAGAATATATTAGGATATTTTTTAGGAAATATTTCGTTAGTATCTCTTGAGGCTGGTGAATATCTTTTTGATATATTTTCCTAGTTTCCTAATCCTATCATATAAGGGTTAACTTGTATTTTATATATAGAGGATGAAGCCATCAATGAAGAGCCAAGTCATTCACTTCTATTTTCTCTCTATTTTAGCATGGTATCAAGAGCAGGTTATTTTTTTTTTTTTACAACACTAAACCATGGCCGATTTTCAGGGTAATACAATAATCCCAGAAATTCGTCTCAATGGTAAATTTGATAACACTTGTTGGATTATTGATACTGGTGCAACTCATCATGTCACCGGAAATAAATCTTGGCTATTTGATTCTTACAACATTGAATGCCCTGTTGGTTTGCCCAATGGTGACAGTGTACTCGCAACTTTGGCCGGATTTGTTTGTTTGTCTGATAAAATCACTATCTCTGGGGTTTTGTTTGTCCCGAATTTGAATTGCAATTTAATTTCTGTCTCTCAACTTAGTGATCAATTAAAAGCTGTTGTACAGTTTAACTCGCATATGTGTGCTATACAAGACCCAATGAAGGAGCTAATTGGCACGGGTCTTAGGCAAGACGGATTATATTATCTTAACAAGCCGGATGTGGTGCAACGTGTGTCGGTGGTTGGAGCGACTTCTGAGTTGGATCTTTGGCATAAAAGAATGGGTCACCCTTTTGAAAAGGTAGTTAAGTTGCTTCCTCATATTAGCAATAATAACACTAGTTTAGCAAAAGGTTGTGAAATATGTTTTCGTGCTCAACATTCTAGAGACAAGTTTCCTTTGAGTGACAATAAAGCATCTAGAATTTTTGAAAAAATACATTGTGATTTATGGGGCCCATATCGTCATGTTTCTTCGTGTGGGGCTCGTTATTTCTTGACTATTGTTGATGATTATTCCCGTGCTGTTTGGATCTATTTGCTGCTTGATAAAATTGAGGTTTTTCGGATGTTTATGACTTTTGTTGCTATGGTTGATAGACAATTTAATCAAACAATTAAAATAGTGCAGAGTGATAATGGGACTGAATTTAATTGTTTGAACGATTATTTTGTTGCAACTGGTATTCTCTTTCAAACCTCTTGTGTTGGGACTCCTCGACAAAACGGGAGGGTAGAGAGAAAACACAGACACATTCTTAATGTTAGTAGGGCCTTGAGATTCCAAGCCAATCTTCCTATTTATTTTTGGGGTGAGTGTGTTTTAGCTGCGGCTCATTTAATTAATTGCACCCCTACCCCTATTCTACAAAACAAAACTCCTTTCGAAATTCTTTTCAATAAACCTCCTTCTTTTGGTGCTATTCGAACTTTTGGTTGTTTGTGTTTCGCACACAATCAAAAGACAAAGGGGGATAAGTTTGCTAGTAGGAGTCGTAAATGTGTTTTTGTGGGGTATCCATTCGGGAAAAAGGGATGGAAATTATTTGATCTTGAAACAAAGGAATTTTTTGTCTCTCGTGATGTGAAATTTGTTGAAGATATGTTTCCGTTTGGTTCCCCGACTGATGTAAATATTGATGCAAATTTTGGTGATACGAAGGATGATATTCATGTGGATTTTGCTGCTTGTGATTTGGGTTACGATGATAATGGTGCAAATATTTATGACGACACTTTTACTATGGAAAAAGGGGGGATGCCGCTCACTCCGCAACTACCCCGCAACATGACAGTACTAGCCGCAGGGGGGTTGCGGAGTCCCCTGCCACTGCCAATGCCCAGCATGAGAAACAGCAATATAAAACAGAGCATCAGCTTGCTGAGGCAGCCACTGCCCAGCAGCAGCGCACAGAGCAGGTGGCAGAATCTGCCACTACCCAGCAGCAGAACACCGAGCAGGTGGCAGATTCTGTCACTGCCAAGCAGTGCCGCACCGAGCAGCAGGTTGATTCTGCCACTGCCCAGCAGCACCGCACAGAGCAGCAGGTGGCAGATTCTGCCACTGCTCAGCAGCACCGCACCGAGCAATTTGCAGCACCTCACGTTGACAGTGAATTGGGGCGTGGTTTTCGGGATAAATATCCCTCGGTTTTGCTTCGTGATTTTGTTATACACACAGTTGTTGCTAAGAGTCCGTCTCCTACTTCCAATCAGACTTCAGGTACTCCGTATCCCTTGCCACACTACATAAACTGTGACATGTTTTCAGTGAATTATCGCAAATTTCTTGCTGCCGTTGTTTTGAGAAAGGATCCAAAATCATTTAAAGAAGCCATGAAATCTGAAGGATGGCAACGTTCTATGAAAGAAGAAATAAGGGCTTTAGAAGACAATGGGACTTGGACTTTAGAGTATCTTCCTCCCGGTAAGAAGGCTCTAGGCAGTCAATGGGTTTACAAGACGAAATTTTTGTCTAATGGTGATGTTGAACGTCTTAAGTCTCGCTTGGTTGTTTTTGGTAATCATCAGCAGGAAGGTATAGATTACAGTGAGACTTTCGCTCCAGTTGCAAAAATGACTACAGTTCGGGCTTTTCTCGCTATAGCCACTTCTAAAAATTGGGAACTTCATCAGATGGATGTTCATAATGCTTTTTTACATGGTGATCTAGAAGAGGAGGTGTACATGAAATTACCTCCAGGTTTTGAGAGCTCGGATCCGAGGTTGGTGTGTCGTTTGAGAAAGTCTTTGTATGGGTTGAAACAGGCACCAAGGTGTTGGTTTGCAAAACTCACCACGGCTCTAAAAGGGTACGGTTTTATTCAATCTTACTCTGATTATTCTCTTTTCACATATACTAAAGGCAATGTTCAGATTAATGTCTTAGTTTATGTATGAGAATGTGTCGAAAGCAGCTAAGACACCGTTGTATCCTGGTTATTCTAAGTATTCCAAGCTTTCTAGGATTTTAACATTGTACAACTTGAAAGCGAAGAGCGGGTGGACCAACACTAGTTTCACTTTGTTGTTGGAAACCCTCTCTGATATGTTTCCAGAAGGAAATGACATTCCTAAGTCGACTTACTATGCGAAGAAGTTGATGTGTCCATTGGATTCAGAGTACACCAAGATCCATGCATATCATAATGATTGTATGCTATATCGAAAGGAGAATGCAAAATTAGATGCTTGCCCAAAGTGTGGTGTGTCACGATACAAGCGAGAGGGCTCAAATAAGGATCGTTTGAAGTGGCCACCGGCTAAGGTAGTATGGTATCTTCCCATAATACCAAGGTTGAAGCGTCTGTTCTCAATTAAGGATGAGGCGAAAAAATTGGTGTGGCATGAAAATGAGAGGAAGAAAGATGGGTTGATTAGACACCCGGCTGATTCGTTGCAATGGAAAAACATTGACAAGACATTTCCAGTATTCGGGAAGGAGCCGAGTAACATAAGACTGGCATTAAGTACGGATGGGATGAATCCATTTAGCACTCTTAGTAGTCAACATAGTACATGGCCTGCTCTTCTGTCAACAAAGTACAGGCTCAGCGCTAGGAGACAGCTGTCAGCGCCAGGCGACAGCCTTGTCGTCTTGCGCTAAGTCAGAATTAAAACGCGCTTTCCACACGGAATCCTCTTCTTAATACGATTAAGCAGCTAATTCCGCATTGATCATATTAAAATCATGTTTGTGACAAATCACCTATTTTATTGAAAATAAAACTATTTAAAATATAGTTATTAATCCTAATATCATTAGAATTTAAAAAGAGCCTTCTTGATAATTCTAGAAGATTAAAATCAATCCTAATAACTTTAGGAATAATAATTAATAAGCCCTCCTCTAGATAATTGGGCCACATATAAAATCATTTTGGGCCAAATGTAATTTAATCCATAACTTCCTCATTATTCGTCGGAATTAGGCTTATAATATATCGCTGGAAAGCTTTTTTTCGAGCCCAATCCAGCTACACTATTATTGGACCCTTATCATGAACCAAATTGGACTGGCTATTTTCATAAATAGGGTGCAGAAAGAAATATTTTAAAAAATAGAAAGAGAGATATTTTAATAAAAAATCCACATCACTAGACTTTTCACACTTTCACTTTATTCGATAATCAATGACGTGAAAGGTACTCATCACTGGGTTTGGTTTTG